TCATTGTCATCATCAACTGTCATCGAAAACCAAGGCTTCAGAATTGACTTCGGGTTCTCTGGCCCTTTTTATCTCTTCAGCGAGGTCGAAACCTCGAGCATGGATCTCCTCGAGGGTCTCCCTCTGAGATCGGCATTTAGAAAGTTCGACAACCCAATGTGCTCGAGTATCGGCGGTCTCGGCTGCCTCTCGTGCTTGTACCTGGGCAGCTTCAGCATCGGCCCGATAGATGGCCACGAGTGCATCCGCACCGGCCTTTGCCTTTTCAGCGTCAGATTCGGCCTTGGCAAGCACAGAGGCCAACCGAGCCTCGAGCTCCTCTATTCTTCTTGCTTGGACTGAGCTTTTCTCCTTCATTTTTTGAAGTTGGTTTTTGGCTAATGACAATTGGGCTCGAGCGGTTTCTTTCTCTGCAGCAAAGAGGTCCATTCCTTCTTTCCACTTCAAAGACTCCGCTCTTATCACATCGACCTCTTCACGGAGTTTTCCTATCATTTCAATTTTCTACTACAGCTGTGAGACCGAAAGATTAGCCATCATTCCGGTATCAAGCCCATAGGCTTTTAAAAGAATTATTACCTGCTTGGATAGATCGATCTGATCTTGGTGAGCCCTGGCCAACTCAGCTTAGAGGTCTTTTATTTCCTCTCCCTTTTGGCCCAAAAGGAGCTTTAAGGAGTTCCTCTCCTCCGTAACCCGTTGAAGCTCAGCCTCATATCGACGCAGCTAGGTTCAAGACCAAGAACATGATTCTCGATGAACTGTCGCGGCCTACAAAGAAAGAAGAAACGAAGTCATAAAATAATAGAAAACTTAAAGATAACGCTATATGATTTAAGGCCTACCTGATTCAAAGCCTGCTGCACTCCGTAAAAAAGATCTGATGCATCACTTGTACCGGCAGTGTCTTCGACACCAATGAATAGGTCACGAAAAGGATCCTCCCCATCGTGAGGCCTATCTAATTCGAGGGCCCCCAAAGCTTGGGCTTCCCGAATCGCCCCTGCAGAAAAAGCAGGAAAGGTGGGCGAGCCTTCGATTGCTACTGCCCCAAATGAGTCATCTAGGACATTCTCTTCGGTCCGAAAAGATTCGGGAAGAGCCCTTTCAGACACATCCCCCATCCGTCGGCTTCGATGGGAAACATCTTCGATCTCCAGCAACTCGGGGACTCTGCCCGAATCTCCCTCCGATATATCCTCAGATCGAGGCGGAGCCTTATGAACCACCATCGATCCAGTTGCCTGTGAAACGTCGGTGGTTTTCTTTGTTCGGGCCACCAGAGCAGACCCATCATTATCTTCTTCTTCTTCATCCCTCAGATGCAGAACTGATTCTACGGTTAAAGGAATGACATTCTTGTTCATCTTACGAGCCGTCCTGTTCTTCGATTTTTGATCTTCGAGGACGGGGGCTTTTTTCCTCTTATTATCTTTCACCGGCTTTGGGACAGAGGCCGAAGACTCTTCCTCGGCAGACGATGGCCTCAAAACCGCATCCTTGCCCATACCTACATACGAAAAGTTTTACTAAAGTATGTGAAAAACATCTTATTCGAATTACTAAAAGATACGAGAGAAGTGCTCACCGTGAATTTTGGCCTCCCATCGGCCCTTTGACAAGTCGTGCCATGAGCGCTCGGAATATGAGGAGGTCAAAACCAGATCTCATACCCAGTTCTTGAGATCGGGCACTACGCCAGGCATCCAGGGAACTACTGCATCACAAAAGGGCAATATTGGTGAGAAAAGAAATGAAAGAACAGCATAATAGGAGATAACAGCAGAACTACACTTACGCTTCATGTTCCACTCTTCGGGAAAAGGCATCTTTTCGGTTGGGATCAGGTCCGAAGTCCTCACTCGAATGAACCGGCCCATCCATCCTCGATCCTTATCCTCGTCTATACTCGAGAACAAAGCCTTAGTAGCTCGACGTTGGAGTTTTATTAACCCTCATCAAAAAAGGCGAGGACGGTATAATCGGATAAGATGATCGAGGGTGAAAGGTATCCCCTTAATTTTACTCACAAAATATCGGATCAAAATAACGATCCGCCAAAAGGAAGGATGTATCTGACCTAGGGTTATTAAGTATTTATGACAAAAATCTATGATAACAGGGTCGAGGGGACCTAATGTGAAAGGGTAAGTATACACACTTAAAAATCCTCTCACGTGAGTAGTAATATCCTCTTCGGGAGACGGCACTACCACCTCTTTGTTCTCCCAGTTACAATCTCTCTTTATCCGCTCGATGTGCTCCTGAGTTATCGAACAAATATATCTCGATACGGGATCACATCGGCTAGGGACCGGTGAACCTTTATCAAGTTTGAAATCGGAAGTAAGAACACACGCCGCCGGAACACACTCTTCAGGACGGGGATCAACCAGTGTTTTATCGGCGGCGGGTTGGGAAGAAGAAGCTTTTTCTTTTTGGGGGACAGTTCTGGATGTCTTCACCATTTTAGATTTAAAGAAGGTGACAAAGATTTGGTAATTCAGAAGAAGAATTTTGCAAAGACGAATCACAGATTTGCGAATAGACTCAGAAAACACGAAAAATGAATTGGGAAATTTGGAAGATTGAAGATGTAAAAGTGATAAATGATAAAAGGAAGGGTTATTTATAGGTAAGCAATGACGGTTCAGTATTAGCGGTGGCCGACCACCGCCTGACATGCACTAAATATCTTGAATGACTAAATCGACGGGACAGCTATCACGTGCGTCATGGTCGAGCCCAACGTAAATGTCAACTTATAATCCGATCGAGCCGTTGAAAAATCATATCGTTTCTCACCATATTCTTCCTGAGAAACGAGGGGACTATTTGTATACGGTCGAAATAGATTTCGGCCTTCGTACGATTGATCGAGTTCGAAACATAATCGATCGAAGTAATACTTCGAGATTGGTTCCGAAGATGGTACAAACGAGCTTTGAGTCTGAGGGGCCGATCAATGTACAACTCGATATTATAATCAAGCTCGAATCCAAATTGAGCCATGATGCAAAGTAAAGTTATCGAGCTTATGATCCAGAGACCGACCAACATTGACCCCGAATCAATTCATGGGTCCGATTCAGAATCGAGCTCAAGCCGAGATCGATAGCTCGAGTTAAGACCGAAAACTCGAGTCAATATCGAGCTTATATACAAGAGCCGTTGCAGTCCCACTAGAGAAGAAAATCTTGGCAAGAATTGTGAAAAAGCTGATCTATTATGGGTCTCCCACTACGTATTTTTAATTATATCTAAAGTAAGATCCCTCTACTATAAAGGAGATAGTCATCATTTCTGTAAAAGTTAAGTTTTATACTTACATTGTAATCCAAGCACCATATTCTCCCATAGTGAAGAATTGTTCTTTCAAGCTTCTTAAATTAATTCCACTTGTTTAGTCCTAAAATTCATCTTCTTTACAACCTTATTTATTTCGTATTCTTTGCAATCCATACTTGACATTTTTATTTATCCTTATGATTTATATTAAAATTGTACCACATATCCTTAGAACTACGTACAAATTCAACTCTATCCGTTTTTCGGGTAAGAAATAAGTCATAAAACCGAATTCCCCTAATAACTTCCTACCAAAAAATAAAACTAGATGTTTGCATAGTTTCTATGTAGTTAGTCACTAATTAAGTTGATAGTAACTTTATCCTTCAAAATTTAAACATATACAAAGAAAATAAAAGTTTTTTCCTTTCATGCAATCAGGGGCAGAGCCAGAGCGTGGGATGCGGGTTTTAATAGCTTTTATTCAAACCATGTATTTGTCTTAAGAAATCAATTGAACATATACACATTATTAATTTAGAACCCAATAACTTAAGGATTATAATTCCGAACCCATAAAATTCAAATTCTGGATTCGCCTCTGCATGCAATGCCACAGTTCTCACTTGTATATTGGCTAGTGTTAATTAGATTTTGTCATTCCGGGATAAAAAAACAACTTGCTCATGTAGATCCATCTAATTCTTACTAGAAGTACTATTTTATTAAAAATACCTTCTTTTGTTGTGTACAAATGGAAGATTTGTTCTATCCTGCAGCTTGTAACATGGATTTCCTGTCATTCAAATTTTTGTGTAGCATAAGTTACGGGATAGCTCTAGCCAGGAAGTTGATTTGTCTGGTTTTTGTATCAACTATCTGTATAACGCTCCAATTTTTACACATTTTATATACTTAATATTGTCCACAAAGATATTGTATTAAAATTGACTTAGATCAAAGATTAACATGCATTTTTTATCGAATAAATACAGGAAAAGACTCATATTGAAAACGTTCATAACTCAATTCCTTCCTTCATGGAGCTGGCCATGTATTCCGGGGCAGATTTACTGTATTAGTTATAGATTTATGTGAACTTAATAATTTTTGCTCAAATTTTATACATAAATTCACTAAGTATTTATAAATATTTGATTTTGTAATTATTTATTATTATAATATTAGTTAGAAATCGCTATAAAATTTGATAGACTTCAAATTCTAAATCTCTCTGCATGTATATATTCTAAATGATTCGAATCTTCGCAGAGCGAGCCTCCTATAGAGGGCAAGTGAAGCTAATGAGCTTCCTTGCTAAGTTTGACATCAGTGGCAAATCCAGAATTTTCATCCAGGGGTGTCAAAATATAAATAATTAGATACATCGAAAAGTCAAGAAAAGTTAACGTATAGTAAATCTATATAAAATTTAAAAAAACTTATCTAGCGATATAGTACTGTAATTTTTCCGGCGAAGAGGTGTCTCCGCCCCTGATTGATTGACATGTGTAATCATGATATAGACATAATAATCAAGATTAAGTAAAAGTACTAATACAGATTCATGCACATGCAAGACAATTGAGTTGCCAACTAGCAAAAATTGGCCATATAGACCCCTTGTTCACGTGCATTGGTTTTAGGGTTTATTTTGTTTGCATTCACCAATCATCAATTCACTTTCATATCTATATAACACCATACTTTTTGTACCAAAATCTCAACCTATTCCCTCTTTCTTTCCTTTCCTCGTAGGAAAATGGAGTCATCTAAAATAACATGTCTTCTTTTCATTTCCATGCTTTTCCTTTCTTCATTCACTCCCATTCTTGGTTGTGGATATTGTGGAAAACCCTCTCACAAACCCAAAAAGCCCAAAACTCCCTCTCCAAGTATTAAACCCCCTATCAATTTGCCACCCATTGGAATTCCACCAGTGACAGTTCCACCGATTGTAAAACCACCCATCAACTTGCCACCCGTTGTTCCACCAGTTATTAAGCCGCCTATCGGAATTCCACCAGTGACAGTTCCACCAGTTGTAAAACCACCCATCAATTTGCCACCTGTTGTTCCACCAGTTATTAAGCCACCTATCGGAATTCCACCAGTGACAGTTCCACCGGTTATTAAACCTCCTATCAACTTGCCACCCATTATTCCACCAGTTATTAAGCCACCTATCGGAATTCCACCGGTGACAGTTCCACCAGTTGTTAAGCCACCAATTGGTATACCACCTATTGTAAAACCTCCTATCAACTTGCCACCTATAGGAATTCCGCCAGTGACAGTTCCACCAATTACTGTTCCTCCAGTTACACCATCCCCAAAAGGAAAACCATGCCCTCCACCAACAACAACAAAGGCAACATGCCCAATTGACACACTAAAACTTGGAGCTTGTGTAGATCTTCTTGGTGGGCTAGTTCATATTGGAATTGGTGATCCCGCCGTTAATGAATGTTGTCCAATTCTACAGGGACTTGTGGAACTTGAAGCTGCTGCTTGCCTTTGCACAACACTTAAAGTCAAGCTTCTTAACCTTAAAATCTATGTCCCTCTTGCTCTTCAGCTCCTTGTTACCTGTGGGAAGACTCCACCACCTGGCTACACTTGCTCTCTCTAGATTTAAGTTAAGTATATATACCTTTTTCCATTAAGCTTAATTAATCTGCATTGACAATGTATAACTTTTTAACAGGCTAAGGTTACGAAGTAAAGGAAGTCCATTACTCCGTACTTGGCTTCTTGCCACTTGAACGGAGTTTAACAGGAGAAAGGACTACTAGAGATATATACTTTGAGAACCCTTTGTTACCTTCTTGTCACTTAAAAGTAAAGAAGAGATACACACTTTGGAAGTCCCTCCAGCTTGTCTGGTTAACCGGGCTCGCTTCTTCAAGTTCAAATCGGGTTAAAATTATTTATATAACAAAGTAATGACTGTTATGACAAGTTAAAATATATTAGTAGTATAGTCAATCATAATATTATTAGTATATGTAAGTTAAACTCGTAAGTGAAATCCTTTTCCCATAACCTCATCTTAAAAACTTCTGGCTGCATTGTATGCGCGTTTGCTTTTGTTCCTATTTTGAGGAAAAAGTTGATTGCATAACTCGACTTATTAATAAAGAATTGGTAATGCCAGTGGAAAAAAATTTTGGCCAAAAAAAGGATAGAAAATCATGTAGAATGATTGTTGTACGTTAGTACTATTCGATATAGTACAAGGTTTTAAGTTAATTATGCCTTGACAGTGTAAAAGAAAAACTTACACTATTAATGCAAATTGATTGATTAGTAGTAGATTTTTACTCTGACTTTACATAATAGTTATTACCTATTATTGTATTGTAGGTCAATTTACAAAACCAAGACCATTGGGACTAGGATAGTAATTATTTTCTTCATTTATATATAACTAGACTAGAAGCTAAATTTTTCAGTCAAGTGGATCTTAATATTAGGGTGAATTAACGTAGAGGTCTGAGTAGAAGTAACCTTATAATTTTAAGATTTTTTGTGAAGTAATTGTCGGCAATATTCTTCTTCTTCTTCTTCCTTTTTTTTTTTTTTTTTT